AAAAAAAAAAAAAAAAAAAAAAAAAAAAAAAAAAACATGTGCTGTGCTTCTCCAGACTCCTAACAGCACCCTGCAAAGCAGCTACGCAATCAGGCCTTGCTCCGGGAGTGTCCCCCAGTGGGTGTGGCCTCTTCTTGGGGATGCAGTTAGTGGTTTAGGGAGTCTGTTCATTTCTCAGGAAGGGAACATGAGGTGCAGGATGAAGGTAGGAACCCAGGCATCCTGCCTACCTTCCTCGGACCTCAGAGGGACAACCCGTGACCACCTGGCTGGTTTTCACTGGTTCCACTCATAGAGACAGACTCCTCTTGTCCTTAAAAGTCTCCAGGGACAGGTCCTTCCCACCACCCACACTTCCTGCCTCAGGAGCCAGGAAACTCTAAACAAAGCTCAGCGCCCGCTGCTGCGGGGTCAGCTCACCCCCTCTTGTTCTGCTCTGGGTGGAGGTTAAGAACAGCTGCTCCTGAAGTTTAAAGAATATTTCGGTAAGCCCTCAGCATGCTGGGAGACTGTCCTAAATTAGGAAATCCCTCGGATGCTGTAGCACAGGGATAGTGCATAATATCTAACATTGGGGGACCACCAAAGCAGAGTCACTGGCAGACGCCACTTACTCCAAATTACGCCTCCAATTTCTGAACAGCAAATGCTGATAAGGGGTTTTGGAGGGTGAAGTAAGGTGCTCGAAGCAAGTTACCCAGCGAGGCCCCAGCCTCAGTTCTCCCAGCTGCTGGCCCATGACCCCGTGACCCCCCAGGGCTAGAGGGACAGGGGCACAACCTCACAGATCTAAACACTTGTTCCGTTTCGTCCTTACTTTGTCTCTGCTTCTTGTTTTTATAAGGTGGCTTAGACTCGAATCATAAGTTGGCTCATTTGACCCCAAACAGTGACACTTCTAGGGCCTCTAAACCTAAACTTCTCTTCAAATACATGATATTAAGTGCTTTTCCTGTTTCTTGTGGTTCCTATTTTCCTGCTCTGTCAGAACCATTGACATTTTAGTCTCCAAACGCATCTACTTCACCCTACAAATCAGAGCATCCACGAGACCTTATCCTCCTTGAATGCCTTCACTTCCACGCATCCCAACTATTATTCCACCAACAGAAACAACGTTTTTGTCAAGACAGTGCCTTTTAAAAGCCTGGTCAAGTGCACCACCTCCAGGAAGCCTTCCTTGGTTACCCCTGCCTTAATCTACTAATTCTCTTGCTCAGTGTGACAGGCACCTAGTAGGGAGGCAGCTTCCATCTGTGCCTCAAAAAGGAAGGTCGAGGCCCTGAAGCACTGCCACAGCCTCACCACGCAGGGCACTCGGCAAATGTTCCCAGAGCGACGGTAACAACCAACCAGGGACCAGAGTGTGGGGCAGATACCAACTCCGGTGCCAGGCATCTAACAGTGCAGGGTGGGACTCTCACGTCGTCTGGGGACAAGGGTGTTATTCTACTTTATACGACTTCATACAGTGCTGGAGATGTGGGCGGGGAGTGCCCCGATGGTTTGCCTGAAGTTATAAGCAGAGGATTGGTTACCTGCCATCTCCCATCACTTCATCAGATCCTCCAGGGATGCAGGGACCCACTGACTCCTCAACCCGGCCCTACATGCATCCCACACTAGGTGGCAGCCACCACAGGAAATCTCTACCAGGCAGGGACGCCAAGGTTCTAGGCCCCCAGGTAGGGGGTCAACTTGCCCTCCAGGTACAGGTCCGTCCCCACCGCCCTGTCCTTCGGGGAGATGAGAATCAAAAGGAGACGGGAGGGGATGCCCCGGGCCCGTTCAGACAGCGCTCTGAACAGGAGCAGCACGGAGGCCGCAGGGCATCCGAGTGGATCCCGCTAGGTGGCGTGGCAGTGGAGGGGCGGCGGGCGGGGAGGGCACCCACCGCAGAAGCTGGGCTCCCGCCAGCCGATGCGCACGCCTCTTCGGGCACAGGCCGCCGCGTAGTTGGCCACCGCGTCGCACAGGCAGTCTCTGCCGTTGGTGCAGGAGCACACGTCGTAGCGGCAGTTCTGCAGGTAGGGCAGCGGGCCCACGGCGCCGTGGCAGGCCTTGAACTTGGGCGACGTCAGGATGGCACAGGACTCGTCCGCGAATCTGGCTGTGGGGAGAGGAGCAGCGTGGCCCGGGGCCCCGCACGGTCTGAGGCGACCGCAGGCGATGCGCTCGCGGACCCCAGGGTCACCGGCTCCGGCTCGAAATCCCCGTCCCCGCCCCTCCCTCGCTGCAGCAGCGGTAAAAACAAATTCTCTCAGGTCTGGGAATCATGGCGATTTTTCTTCCGCAGCCAATAAACTTTCCTGATGGCTTAAATACATAATCAACCACATTTCCTAGGGAGAAACGGTTCCCTGATGAGTAAGAGGGTAAGACGGGGCAGTCGATGTAGGCCTGAGGACGCTACCGCAGACGAATCTGCCCATGGCCAGCCCCGTGCATCTATCTTATGATAATTTAATTGCTGCTCCTTGAGACCGAGAACGTCCAGGGGAAGAACTATGGGCTACTCTTTTCTTTCCCAGGGTGTGGCCCACGGAGGGTGCTCAGTAAAGAGACTTTGAAGAATAAATGATCCAGATGAAGATCATCAAATGCTGATGGTGAAAACAAAGACCCACCTCCCCCAACGGTGGGCGCACCATCCACGGAATGCACTGGAACCCGGGGGAATCTCAGGGTTCTGGGGGCACGCCTGCCCCTCCCCCCACGGTGGGCGCACCGTCCATGGAATGCACTGGAACCCGAGGGAGCTCGGGGCTCCGGGGGCCCCCAGTCCAGGTCTCACATACTCAGGCGCGGGTTGAGGCTGCAGGGGTCGCTGGGCTGCCTCCGCAGGTCCTCGCAGTCCGCACGCAGCTTCCAGGCGTTTCCGAAGTGCTCCACCAGGGGCTCCACCAGGCCTGCGGGCGTCAGGAAGTCGTCCCCCTGGTTGCCGTTGTAATTCCCGCACAGGCCGCACGTCCTCCCCGAGTAGACCGGGGACAGCTGCGGGGGACAGACCACCTTGGAGCAGCCGCCAAGGCAGCCACAGTTTCCTTGCTCTCATGAGATGGTTTTCATCAAAAGCGATCCCCAGGTGAAAAACAGATATGAATTTAATAAACCACAGCTAAGCCCTAGGCTGCAAAATAAAATAAAACAGGAACTGCAGTATCTTCACCAGCAGCTCCGTGCCCCCTCTTAAATCCTTTGAGTCAGAGACCTGTCCTGCAGGAAAGGGTTTAGAGATTATCCTGTCACTTAAAGACGGGGACACAGAGAGGGAGAGCAACTTGCCTGAGGTCACAGAGCTGTGACCAGTGGACAGGCGGAGCTCCGTCACCCTGCCTGTCAGAGGAGATGCCCAGGGGCATGGAGTGCAAAGCCAGCGCCCCTTTCTTGCACACTTATCTCTGCCACACACATGGGCGAAGCAGGCTGAGCTGTTATGGTGCAAGTCTTCTTAGAACATACGTTGGGTGACAAAGAAAAACACCTTCCTAACTTCTTTCTGTTTTTTTTTTAATAAATTCATTTTTTATTTATTTTTATTTTTGGCTGCATGGGGTCTTCGTTGCTGTGCACAGGCTTTCTCTAGTTGTGGCGAGCAGGGCCTACTCTCCATTGTGGTGCACGGGCTTTTCATTGCGGTGGCTTCTCTTGTTGCAGAGCACGGGCTCTAGGTGCGCAGGCCTCAGTAGTTGTGGTACGTGGGCTTCAGTAGTTGTGGCTCGCGGCTCTAGAGCGCAGGCTCAGTAGTTGTGGTGCACGGGCTTAGTTGCTCCACAGCATGTGGGATCTTCCCAGACCAGGGCTCGAACCCGTGTCCCCTGAATTGGCAGGAGGATTCTTAAACACTGAGCCACCGTCCCCCTTCCTAACTTCTTGATTTTGACTTGACCACTGGGCATCACTGAGGAAAAAAGGCCCCGAGCCAAGAGGACCCTGGGGGTTGTGATCATGATCAGAGGAGGTGGGGTCAGCGAGGACCCGAGGGCAGCCTGCAAGGGTGAGCAGCGGGGGATGCAGGCCACCGGCACGTGGCTTGTTCTCCTGCTTCTGAGTCCGGGATGCACATTCAGGAACGTTTTGGGGAGTCGAGCCTGTCTCTCACATGGTACAGCTGGGGGCATCTGCTGGTCTCTATTGAAGGGGGTCCTAGTTCAAACTGGAGCAGAGGCTGGGACCCCAGGGCCCTGACTCTTGCTCTGCAATTTACCAGGGTTAAACTGTGGCTGCGGAACCTCCCTGTGTTCTGATACCTGCTCGGGCCGGGCTCTGTGAGGTCATCTCCTGGAGCCCCTTCCAGCTCTGACTTGACAAGATGCAGGATGAACAATCTAGTGAGGGTTCCGAACCCATATAAATTGTACCCAAGTAAATATCATTAATAAGAAAGAGGATGGAGTAACGTTTCCCCGTTTGCTTGACAAATAGCAAGTGTTGGCACGTCAGGCACCAGCCCTCCCCTCACCTCGCAATGAAAACGTCAATCCTCCCCACCTAGCACTTCCTGCCCCTCCTCTGCTTTCCCTCTCTCTCCCTCACCAGGATTTATCACCTTCTAACACGTGACACAATTTCCCTGTTGGTTCTGCTTACTGTGCGTCTCCCCCCATTAGAATTTAAACTAAACGAAGCCAGGATTCTGGTCCGTTTTGTTTCACTGTTGGACCTCTGCCACCAGTTCGGTGCGTGGATGGCTGAACAGTGTCTGGACAGATTCGTGAGTGAGAGAGGCTCCCCTCCGGACACCGACACCCAAGGCCAGCCCCAGCGAAGCAGTGAAGCCGGGGAGGCGTCTGTCCCCTCACCCTCGTCTCAGTGTCCGCTCTCTTCCCTCCTAGTTCTCAGGCCCTGAGCACCTCAGGCTCCCCAGGTCACCTCTGACACACCCGCCAGGTCTGCCATCTCCACCCTCCCCCACTCTCTAAGCCTGTCTCCTTCCGGCCCGTCGTCCCCGGGGCTTGTCTCAGAGGTTGGCTCAGCAAGGGTTAGGAGGGTGTGCGTGCTGGTGGAAGCCAGGCCAGGCTGCCCTCCTCCCAGCCCGCAGTGCCTCAACTGTCCGAGATCAGGGACTTGGAGAACGCACTTCCTATTCGCTATCTGAAATAGCAGTGTCACTTCTGACAGGATGAAAAGTGTCAGAGTCCCTTCTACTCCGCTTGGCCTAATGCCAAGCTGCGCCTGCATCACAGCCAGCAGGGCCCCGCTGCCTGGACCTCGGGACCCGTGCCTCACCCGGGGAGCCACTGGCAGCCCCTCATCCCACCTCATCTGGCTGCTGCCCCCCGGGGGGTGGGGGGCCCGCCCTGCCGCTCCCTGCTGTCCTAACCCCCAGCAGGGGCCTTTAGCTCGGCAGTCCCCACAAACCCCGGGGTCAGCATGGGGACACGTTCCCTCCGCCCCATCCACAAACGCCCCCTTTCCTCCTCCAGCCGAAACACATAGCACATTCCCCAGGCCCCGGGGTCGTCTGCCCCGTCCTGAGTCTTGACCAGGAAAGGCTTCTTCTCTTTAGCCAAACTGACCAAACGCAGCCCCAGAGATAACCCTGCATCTCATTCCCACAGAAACAAGTGCCCCTTCTCTCCTCAGAGGAGACAGATAAATCTGAGGCAGGGAGGTCAGCCACGCAAGACAAGACCAAGATATTATGTGCCTGCTGAAGCGGGGGAGGGGCACCTGACAGATCAAGACCCTCTCGGTGTGGTGGGAGATGCCTGAGAAAGTGGGACGGCTGACAGGGGCACCGCCCTTGAAGACCAGGGTGCAGGAGACCCAAGTTCTGCTCTCACTCTGTAACCAAATGACTGGGAGTCACTTTCCTCCTCCAGAAAAGATAGGATCTTTATTTCCAACTGTACTTGAGGGATTGATAAGATCTCCAAAAACCTTCGTGTGTGGTCACAGTTTTATTTTTTATAAAAGAAAAAAAAAAGGCGTTAATTTGGAACTTTCTCAGGGTCTTCAAAGACAAGAGAAAGAACATGACATCACGAGGATGGAGGACACCAGGACGTCATCGAGGACACCCCAGGAGCCCATCACGGGATCATACCAAGGGCCTATGGAACACGGAACCTCCGGAAGCAGGAGGGGACACTCCAGGGATCCTAATGTATTCAGGGCGGGGGTTCTCAAAGTGTGGACATGGGACCCATGGCAGGGGGTGATCCCTGAGACCCTTTCAAAGGGTCCACGAGGCCAAAACTATTTTCATAATCATACGAAGACGTTATTTGGCTTTTTCCCTCTCATTCTGTACAAGTGCGCAGTGGAGTTTTCCAGAGTCTGCATGACACGTAATACTGCAGAAGACTGAACCCAGAAGTAGAGGGAACTCCAGCTGTCTTCCGTTAAGCCAGCCATTAAAGAAATTGGCAGAAACATAAAACAATGGTATTCTCACTACCTAATTTTGTTTTGGAAAACAGATTTTTTAATGTTTATATCAATGTGTAGTCGCTTTACTATTGTTATTTATTAATGAATTAATAAATGTCTCTGATTTAATTTCTAATCTGGTAAATATCAACAGCTATAACCTCCATAAAAGATCTCGGGGTTCTCCATAATTTTGAAGAGTGCAAAGGCATCTGAAGACCTAAAAGTGAGAAGCGCTGGTCTACTGGGGGTGACATTGCCCGGGGAGCTGATCGGGTGCGCAGTCCTGAGCGTGTCTCCCAGCCCCCATGAGCCTTGCTTGCTTCGTTTATGAAATGGCAGTGACAATACCTTCTAGGGAAATTTCCAGAGGGAAAAAAATGTATCTGGAAGCCCTGTGAAATATATGGCTCCGTCTCCAAGCATGACTCTAGGGCCACAGAAAGCAGAGGAGGTGGCCCCTAGGCTGCAGAGGCCCCGAGACCATGGGAGGGATTTGGTAGTTCCCAGGACAACCTTTCACAGGCAGTGGGTACACGACACAGGATCTTGGCTGTGAGTCCCACTGCAGGCGCCCCGCCCCAGGGAACACCCCCTGGTTCCAGGCCTGGTTGCAGCCAGGAGCCTGGGCAGCAAATCAACTGTTTCCCCAGCCCCGCATGAGCCCACCCAGTCTGGACGCCCCTTGGGGTTCTAGAGCCCAGCACCCAAGAACTCCTGGGGTGAACAAGGGGCATCCAGACAGCAAACACCAGCCTCTTATACACAGAGAGGCCTGTTCCTCACTCTGGGGGTGCAGGGCCGGGGGAGAAAGGAATTCCCCTCCCACCCTTGAGCTCTCCCCCCAGAGCACAATGGGGACTTTGTAAGGTCTGGCTGCAGGGTGGCCGTGTTCAGGAGGGCACCTACCTTCACCAGCAGCCTCCCGCGGCCGTCCCAGTCTATCTGCAGGTCCTCCCCGTAGCTGAGGTGCACGGAGGCCATCACGGTGTGCTGGATGCGGAGGTCACCTGGAACCCAGCAAGGACGGGATTTAGGCTAAGATGGGGAGAGGGCAGGAGAGCGGCAGGCAGATGGATCATAGGGGA